AAAACTAATTTAAGTGTCTGACCTGCATATTGTTGAGAGAAAAAAAAACCCAATTGTACTATGTACTACTGACATTAAACCAGACACAATTACAAAATATTCCATTCTTTAAAACATTAATAATGCTTAAAGCATTTAAGGAAAATGTGTGAAAATTACATTAAGCATTAAAATCAACAGATTAAAAATAAATAAATTACACAAAGCACTAGAACATACATGTACATTAATAATTTAAACGTCTGAATTGCATATTTTTGGAAAAATAAATATTTGTAACTATTAGCCGACTCAGAAACAACCCAACTTTAAAATATTACAAATTCTGGTGTCAAATGATCAACAAGGTCTGAATTCACATGTTCAAATGCAATTCATCTTTAGTTCTATTGCACTTTTACACTGTAGATCAATGATGTCAAAGCAGCTTAACATAGAAGTTCTTGTAAATTGAAGCTGCTTCAGTCCAGTTTTCAGAATTGAAGCAGTAAATGTTACTGCTGAAAGTCCAAACACTGAAGAGCAAATCCACCGATCCACCAATCGAAGCCAAGTGAACAAGTGGCGACAGTGGCATGGAACAAACTTCACTAACTGACGAAAGTGTAGAATAAAAGCCCTTGAGTGAAACCAGGCTCAGTTGGGCAAGACCAGTTCTCCTCTAGCCAAACTTGTGCAAGGCCGCAGTCTAGGCACCGGAGGCTTGAAAGTTCACCAGCGGGTGGTCAGGCTGGCCCATTGGATCAATGCGGAAACGCATTGATCACGTGTGTCTTTTAGGATTCACTCCTCCATGACCACCACAGCATCTGGTCAGGATTTGGCCCAGTCCAGGATTATGAAGAACTCTGGATAAGGAGAAACAGACTAACATGAGCATAGAAGAAGCTTGTTTAAAAAAAAATAAATCATATACTGGTTAATTATTTTGAAGCATGGCAGCTGGGTTGGGCTAGTTTTCAGTTGGTACTGAGCAACTGGCTCCTGCTCAAAACCTGCTCACTACCATGTTTAAAAGATAACTAACCAGAATGTCCTGTTATTTTTTTTCCCCAACAAGGTTTTACAAAAACATTGTAGCATTTATGATGGGTTGATTAACTGCAGGACAGATTAGACAATTTGTTTTATGTATTCCTAATAAACTAAAACAGACTGAATACTGATACAACTATTGAGAGTGTCTCACCTAATCCAAGTTCTCAGTTAGCTGGTGAAAGAAGGATAACACACTGTTGTTCATGGTTGTCATTCTCTTCATTACTTCTCCTGCCTTCTTCTGGCTCACTCTGGTTGTTGCTGTGCATTTTGTTTCATCCTCTGGAATTATTTATACAAAAAAAAAAATTAGGCAACATGAAATGGGGAAAAAGACTTTTAATACATAGACAAATGCATGTATCCCAATAATAATTATTATATTACGAAATGTCTGACCCATGACAGACCTCAATCTGCTCAAAAATATTATAAACAAAGATGAAAAAAAACCTACTAAATGGTTTATTAAAAAGGGAAACAAATCTTTTATTTAGCTAGCAACTAAACATGTGACACATTTTGTATTAAAAGTAACATTACTATATTGAGAAACAAATAAATGTACAGTACTTACTGTTGTATGAGGTCCAGTTTGCACAGGCAAGTTCCCAGTATTCTATATTGAAACTATAAAAAAGCCAAAAATACAGATAAGAATACCTTGCTACAATCCACAACCTCCACACAACTTTTTTTTTTATTAGTTTACCTTGGTTGCTTACTGGTCTTGCTTATTTTTAAGCATAAGGCTGTGCTGATCAAGATGTTCCTCCGAAATGCTGTTTTCTTCTTCAGCCAAAACCTGCTGCTGTGTCAGTGCCATATCTAAACAGAAAAAAATATAATGGTAACAATTATGTTAAACCAAATGTCAAGAGTTGTGATAAAATAATAAAAAAAAAATTAGCAAACAATAAATAGCCAAAAGGTGGTTATTAGCATAATGTATAAAGGTAAAGTTGGTTTTATTTTAGCAGATTCAGACTTCCCCCTTAATAATTTAATTTCATAAAAGTATTATTTGCAACTCTAAATAGCGAAATCATATTAGCAGCCAATGACTATCAAAGTACAACATGCTCAAGGTCAAATAAACAATGTTAATGTTGATTTCAAGTCATACTGGCATGCTAATTCTGATCGAATATTTAAAGTAACATGGTAAACAGTATAGAGACTTCTAAATGAACGAATGTGCGAATATAAAACCAACTTTACCTCTATGCATATTGTATAGATTTACGTTAACGTTATTAAAGGTTACGTCGCGAAGTTATTTTCTCAAACTAACGATATAAGTTACTCTAAACCAGAGAAAAATAAGTTCACAACAGCTAATATATATAGTATAAATCAATATAAGTTAAACGTTGCACGTTAAAATGAGTTTGAGTCCAATTCGGTGTAAACTTAGCCCAGTTTAGCTAACGTTACCATTTTAGGATCGCTTCATTCAATGTCGCCGGGCAAACAAATGCTAACCAAGTTATAGAGGTGCTCAAATCAATGTCGAGTGTTGTCAGCACAGACAGACGCGCTTTTACCTGGATTATTTGTTGGTCTTTCATTCATATTCTTCTGGGGGAAAATACTCTCTGCCGGACCGTTGTCTCGTGCTAAGTGTCCTCCAAAACTGTCTGCATACCTCTGGTTCCCTCCTAAACCAAAACCCGCTGCAACACCGGTTCCTATGTAAATAAATAAAAAGATATGACGAGAACACTAGCTAATAGTCATAAACAGTCTTATTTAAAGTAATAGTAGTGTTAATGTAATAAACTAAATGAAGGAAAAAAAATCTTAATAGATGATATATTTCTCAAATGGGCAAAATAACTCCAAGCCAGAGAAAATAATATTAGCCAACTTTATACATTACTTTGATCTATTCTCGTCCACAAAACATTCTGTAAAATGAAACACTGCCTCAGCTTACCAGAGTAAAGTTTGTTAAATCCAGCATGTTCGTCAGGCACGCTAATAAATTGTCCTCCAGAATTGCTCCAGGTTCCTCAGGCAAAATGTGGTGCAGAGTAGTCGAATTGCCGCAAGGTGGCGTCGAAGCAGTTGTGGAAAATACAGTATAATACACAAATTTTTACAAATACAGTACATCGCTGTATATGTTGTTCGACGTCACACTGAATTCCCATAATGCAACGGTAAATACAGTTATTTACTGTAAAAGGAATTTGCAGTATTATACTGGGTGAAATACAGTAAATAACTGTGTAATTTACAGAAATGTCTAACAGTGTATACAGCTAATAGTGCCCGCAACAGACTCTGAGATTGGCTGTATGTATACAGTATGTAGATTATTTAATCATTTTAATGTTGAAGAAAGAGTAAATCAAGATAGTTACAACAATTTAGTTAACTTTTATTGAAGTTAACTCAATAGGGCCTGTGCATACATTGAAAGACAGCTTTTTAACTTACTTTCCTTTCTTTACTGGCTTAAACTTTACATTTAATAGGTTCTTTTAAACATCAATCAGCCATTATTTTTGATTGTCACATTCGTGCATGCTTGTTTTAAACCAAGCTATTAGGAGTCTTTCTTCTGTTGTCGCTATTATATACTAGTAGTTACCCTTTTAAATCACATATTGTTACGCGATTTAAGAGTATAGTCTTTGCCTTATCGTTTTTAGGGTTAAAAATAGTGTCATTCCCTGTAGCAGTAGGCACGATTAAGACAAATATGAACTACTGTTTACAGGGACGATTTTAAGATTTTCATTTTAGGGCAGATCAGGATTAGATCCTTTTGGATTAAACAAAGAAAAATTTGTTTATATATATATATATATATATATATATATATATATATATATATATATATATATATATATATATATATGGTGGTTTGTTAATTAAATGAAAAACGAGCTGAAAACGGAGCGGCGGAAGTCTGCCGCCGTTTTCATATCAAATTTAAAGGGGACTGAAGCTGGAATTATACTCTTTTTATTATATAATTACAATGGCGACCATATAGTGTACAGTTCATGAGCTAAATCACAAAACTTTTAAGGGTACTGAATAGAAAGGTAGAAGGGCTAAAGCCACGCCCATTCTGTTTTATAAATTTACCTGAACGTTTCAGCAAGACATCTTTCAGTTGACTTGTCGGGGTCTTCGAAAAACTCTCACGAAATTTTCTTACAGTTACTGTGGTCGTCAGGGGGTGGGGAATGGCGCAAATTAAACAAAAGTGCACCAATTGCAACAAATTAAGATGCGAGTTAAATAAACATTTGGCAGACAGTTAAAGGGGACGTGAATACACGTAAATTAGGGATGTTTAATCAGAAAAACAAGTGAGTATACCGAGGGTTTAGGCAATTATTGATCATCAAAAGTGGTAATACCCAAACAGCTTGTGGAAAAAAGTAAGCATAGTATACAGTACGTGCATATGGCAAGGACTACACCACTGGTTTGCACGCTATATCTAATACTACTTTTCTAACAAAATATACGTAGAAATCTTACAGTGTGTGGTACTCATTTCTAAACTAGTGTGTTTAGAGAGTGGAGTTTTCTGCGTGTTGAGGTGTATGTCACGTGACATCTAAACTCCTCAATTCCCAGGGGAATTCGAACAAATACACGTATACAGTACAAGACAGTAACAGCGACCAAAACTATAAGGAGAACAAAATCAAGCTCTAAAGTCACATTAACATAATAACTCACAACACAAGCCAAAAAACACACAAAAAGGCAAGCAAGAGAAAAGCGATTTTATTCTACATAATCCTACACAATACTTTAACCCAACTACTAGCTTACTGACTATTAAGAAGCAGCTAATTGATAGTTTATAGAGCTAAAAGTCTTGGTTAATAGTTTATTAATAGCGAGAATTGTACCTTAAAAATTATGACCAATGACCAATATTTGTGTTATTGTAGAATTTCTTAATAAAAACGTCTTCATATGTCTTTTAGGGACCACCCGGCCCAGTTGGCCCACCTGGCATTCAAGGTCCCCCTGGAGCAAAGGTAAGTTATTCCTACCAATTATGTGTAGTTTTTAAGTTTTCTATTTTTCATTTATTTTCCAAAGTGAAGTAAATATATCCAGTAATAAATATAGCCTTTTCTGCTTGCCTGCCTATTCTCTCCACTGTCTTATCCAAATAAACTGTGTAAGGAAGCCCAAAATATCACTTAATTTATACAGGAATGTGTGTTTTTCTACATCAGCTCATACATAAGTCAAGTGATCACACTATATACAGTAACACATTACTCAAATGTCATGAAGCTGTTATTTGTTGACAGGGGAATTCTGGGTCTCGCGGACAAGACGGCCTTCCTGGACCACCTGGTGTTAAAGTGAGTGAGTTTGGGAGGGGGATTTCCACACATAAAGTCCTAAAATATGATATGACCTTCTTTAGTGGCATACCTGGCGCTTTCTCTAACAACTTCAGGAAATAGCTTTGAATAGCAGATGCTATATTAAGCCTTCATTAAGTCATAATGTTCCGTAACCTTTCATTTATTTTACATACTGTAAGTTCTGGTTGTGGGCCAAGATTTAACAGATTCAAAAAAAAAAAGTAGATTTGAGATTATGATCATTTAATGTAGACCTGCAATTGAAAGTAAGAGAATGTATTTAATATAGTTGAAATTGTTGTCAATCTTATTTAACCATGTGCACCACCTTACACATTTAAGGAACACTGCATAGACTCTACAACTCCCTTAGAGGTAAACAGATGAGTTTTACCATTTTTTAATACATTCAGCCGATCTCAGGGTCTAGAGAGAGCAATTTTAGCTTAGCTTAGCATACATCATTGAATCGGATTAGACCGTTAGCACTTTGCTTAAAAATTTCAAAGAAGCATTTTGAAATTGTTTCTATTTAAAGCTTGATTCTTCTGTAGTTACTACTGTAGTGTACTAAAACTAACAGAAAATAAAAGTTGCTATTTTATTGGCTGATACAGCTATAGGAACTATACTCTCATTCTGGCGTAATAATTAAGGAACATTACTGCCATACCATGGTTTCAGCAGGCTCAATGATATTATGCAGTGCCTGAAAATAGTCCCCATCTAGGTAAATAGGTAACTGCGCTGCCTAATATCATTGCAGCCATGGCAAAACAACAAAGTTCCTTGATTACACCAGAATGAGAGTATAGTTCCTATCCATATCGGCCTGGAAAAAAATCACAACTTATAATTTCCTGTTGGTCTAAGTACATGATTTAGCTACAGAAAGAATCAAGCTTTAAATAGGAAATTACCAAAGTGCTTTCTTTGAAATCTGTGAGTGAGATGCTAACGGTCTAAACTGATTCAATGATCTATGCTAAGCTAAAATTGCTCCTGACAGACCCAAAGATTGAATTAATTGGTTAAAAAAGTGGTAAAACTCAACAGTTTAACTCTAGGTGACTTGTAAAATTAGCTTATTTCCAAAAAAAAAAAAAAAAAAAACAAGCGTATCGTACAATTCTTCCAAAGCCATAGAGTAGCTGTATTTAAAATAGTTTGATTTAAAAATGTTTATATAAGTGGTGTTTTGTTTGCTGTATTTTTATTGAAAAAAAAGCACTACTCAATGCATATAATGATGCTACACAATGGAACAGTATAAGCACTGTCTATATGTGTCCACAGGGTTCCGATGGAGAGCACGGCATTCAGGGTCCACCTGGCATTAGGGGTCCACCAGGGCTTAAAGGCCACAAGGTATGTCTGTCTTCAGTACTGACAGGCCTAACCGGAAATTAGCTCAAGTCAGAGTTGTGAGGTGGATTAATAATAGCTAAATGGCATACGCTTTTATATACACGGCTTTCACGCATTATGAAATCGAAAGAGAGATGATGGTATCGCTGTAGGTGTGCAGTCAATGGCATACTCTACCACAGTCTAATCTAACAAATTTGTTTCATTATTGTGACCTATTCGAGTGTGAACAGATTATTGTAGGAGAAAGAAATGATTTTGCAATATTTATTGTTTTCAGCGATACAGTTGAAGTCAGAATCATTAGCCCCCCTTTGTTTTTTTCTTCTTTAAATATTTCCCAAATGATGTTTAACAGAGCAAGGAAACTTTCACAGTATGTCTGATAATATTTTTTTTATTTTATTTTATTTTTTTATTTTATTTTATTTTATTTTAAAAGCAGTTACTAATTTTTTAAACACTCTTTTACGGACAAAATTATTAGCCCCTTTAGGCATTTTTTTTTTCGATAGTCCACAGAACAAACCATCATTATACAATAACTTACCTAATTACCCTAACCTGCCTAGAAGTGTCTTGAAAAATATCCAGTCAAATATTTTTTACTGTCATCATGACAAAGATAAAATAAATCAGTTATTAGAAATGAGTTATTAAGACTGTTATGTTTAGAAATTTGTTGAAACAAATCTTCTCTCCGTTAAACAGAAATTGGGGGAAAAATTAAACAAGCGCTCTAATAATTCAGAGGGGCTAATAATTATGACTTCAACTGTATGTATATATATATATATATATATATATAGTGATAAATGCAATTTCACCTGATGTCTTGAATTTTAGATTATTTGGGATGATTTTGTAGGTAGTTCATTTGCATAAAATATAATAAGCAAATACTGTATAAATACAACAAAAGCAAAAGTGCAAATGAAATAATCAGTACTTTATTGTTTGATGGAGAACATGACAGTATTTAGGTAAAGAAAATGAATAATCAGTTGCAATATAACACTGTATAGTTTTCATTGTATAAATAATTCAATATATTTTAAATACTTGATCTATAAAAAATAATAAAATAAACTATATCATATTTTTTGTACCTAAATGGTTAAACTCAAATGCAAATGAAAAACTTTCACTGTATTATGGTTAGAATTTATAATAACTCTACATTGCACATCATGTGATGTGACTATTGTGGATGTTAATGCTAAAATTAAAAATTGGGCCGTTTTAGTTTTGTGTCTTGCTTAGTTTTCTGCTTAGTTGCATGAAGCCAAGGTTATAAGCTGACCAAATGATTGGAAAAGTTCCATCTGCATCACCAGAGATTCGTTTTACTGTAAGATTATGACATTTTCATTTAAAAAATGCAGAAGTTACATTTTAACAGTAAAAAATAGTAAAAAAATAAATAAATAAGGAACTCCAGCAACACTTAAACAATGTGATGGAATAAAAATAAATGTCAATGTGTTTTGGCTTTAAGAGCCTTCATCAGGGCACAAAAACACATCACATACAAACATTTCCAAAGGCTTTAAACTAGGGCTGCACAATATATAGTTTCAGCATCATTTTCGCAATGTGATCATTCACAATAATCACATCGCAGGGTCTGCAATGTTGAGTCTGGATTATAATTGATCATTTTGCAAGTGTTTTTTGAGGCCTGTGACTGCACTGTAAAAAACAAAATCACCATTTGTTCAGCACACTTTACTCTTTCTGTCATATATACTAGGAATTTAGAATAAGAATTGATTACATAAAAATCGATGATAGAAAGACGATCAAAAACTAAGCTTGTTTATCAGTTGCTTAAATGAGGGGTGACACAGTGGCGCAGTTGGTAGCACAGTTGCCTCACAGCAAGAAGGTTGCTAGTTCGAGACCGGGCTGGGTCAGTTGGCATCCCTGTGTTCACGTGGGTTTCTTCCGGGTGCTCCGGTTTCCGCCACACTTCAAAGACATGAGGTACAGGTGTCTGAGTGTGAATGGATGTTTGCCAGTACAGGGTTGCAGCTGGAAGGGCATCCGCTGTGTAACACATATGCTGAAAAACTAAAAACAATTGTTGGGATAACTCAAAGTTCTTACTGCATCAAGTTGCCTTATTTTTTGTGTTTTCTCAACAATGTACTTTTTGCAGTGTGTGAGGGTTTTAAAAGCATTCAGGCATAAGAAATTGTACTGTTTGTAGCTTTGACAAATAAATAAGGATTCATTTGATTAAATTGTTTACAAAAGGAAGACTATGCATTTAATTATTCAACGACTGTATACCTGATTTCAGTTTAAAAACAGTAAAATGCTGTTTACATAATTAGCATATTTTTCTTTATTGAATTGATCTGTGCTTGTAGATTGTTTCTTATATTGTTTGCACTGCGCTACAGAATCATCCCAAACAATCTAAAATGATCAATGCTTTCCAAATAGTTATTCAACGCATTGTGTGAAATTGTATTCCTATCACAATATATATCGTAGAATAAAAATATATATCGAAATGTTCGATTTTTCCAATATCGTGCAGCCCTACTTTAAACATACATCTTCATCTTAGAACATCTAACTACAGATTAGAAACAGCTGATAAGCCAGACTTAAATCATCACCCCAATCAATCAGCAGGAGCTGACTGTGGTAACAATCAATTGACAACAAGTAAACAAATAATTGACAGAAATCCACATCAAATCAACACATAATCAAAGCAATTAAAACAAACATTTCAAAGAAGCTTAAAAAACCTGTCAAAGAAATAAAAAATAAAAAAACGCCACACAAAAAGTAAAACAAATTATTCACTAGAAGAGTTATAAATGTGCATTTACAAAATACATAGGGTTTTTGATTGTCACATAAATCACACATTTTGTTTTAGTAAATGTTGCAGGTTCTAGACCCCCCTCCGTCCATTTTCTACCATTAAAATGTGAAAAAAAACAAATCGTTAAAAATCATTCTATTTTTTTACTAATTTTCCCTCCCACAAAAATAATTTCTTCTCTATTCTTCCTTTCGACTTCCTTTCTAATGGTATCCTTTGGCAATAGCTATGTTTCCATCCATGATGCAAATTAAATTAATGCGCAAAACTGGATGTTGTGCGAATAAAGCAGCGTTTCCATCCAACGAGTCAAAGAGAACAAAATCATCACATCCTGATTAACTGGTGGCAAATATCAATAGTAAAAACTGAATTTTCTTTATTTAATAAATTATTTGCACCTCAGAAGGCAGTATGCTGACAAACAATGTAGGCTTGGTAGTGTTTGAAGGCGTGACACGCAGAGCACAGATGCTCTTGACAATTCTGGAGGAAATTCATGAATTCTAAAATGGTTAAGGCTTTTCAGAATGACCTAAACAACATTTCAGATGTTTTACAATGTGCCCAGCCTGCTGGTTTATCCATTCACACTAATTTTTATAATCACATGATGTCTTAAAACAAAATCACATCACCTTTTTAATGCACATACTGGAATTTGTTCAGTAAAAGTGTTTCCATTATAGTTTATGCGCATCTTTTCTTATCAAATAAGCAAATAAGACGTTTATCCTACTCATTTATGCGCATACGTTTTAGGCACATTTTAAAAATATATGCGCATCTTGACGTTTCCATAAGCCGTTTTTTTATGTGCATCACCAAAATGCACATAACGATAGGTGGATGGAAAATAGCTAGTGAGAAAGCATCTTTAGGCAAAGAAAATGGGCAATATTTTTTTCAGAATAAGCATTGAGCGTGCATATTTTAAATTAAAATTTGCCAAATTACTGTTAATTATTGCAATCTCGACAAAATCTTTGCATTTGATAGTTTTATTCAAAATACTTTATTATTTTTTTTCTTCTGCATGGTTAAATGCCATCATTTTATATTTGCAGGGTGAATCCGGATCATTGGGACCGAAAGGAAGTCAGGTATAGTGTGATCGACATCTGTGACATTTAATTTCCCTTTGTTGAAAAGAAACATGTTCTGAGAGAGAAAAGAGGAAGTGAAAAAAAAAAGGTGTTACTGCCGTTGCGTTTTCCATAACATGAATTATTATGACATACCAGCTGTTCTACATTGGTTTTACTTGTAAAAGCTGACCTATTCTGGAACTGCACACTCTGTTGTAGTAAGAAAGCGAAGCAGACTGGTTGATCTTGTGTTTTTTTTAATAAGACTAATTATTGCATGCTTGTTTTTCCCCATTATAATACTGTACTGTATATTTTAAAGCATGACAACACTTAAAACTCTTATTTCAGGGCGAGAAAGGAAACCAAGGAGAACCTGGAGTCAATGGAAAACATGTATGTATTTATTCTTCCTTAGTGATGTTGGTAATGCAAGCATACTATTAGATATGAGTTTGAATATCTTTGTAAAACCTACGCCTTAAGCTTTGATGCAGTATTCGACACCCACATTGCTTCTGCAATGGAAATGATAATATCCCACAGACTTAGATTCAGTCTAGAGTCTAGTGTTTCACAGAAACCTAATGACCATTTAAGCTTGGGTTAGCAAATAATCACTTATTGGGCATACAAAAGAGCTTAGCGCAGCACTAAAATATTTATAAAATACTAAAACACATAACATAGACATCCCACACTGTAAAAAATGCTTGAGTTTTTGTGTTATTTCTAGTCCAAATTTCTAAAAATTCCTTAAACAAAAAGCATTTTCTAGACCAGAGGTGTCCAAAGTAGGGCCCGCAGGCTAAAGGTGGCCCATGGTAAACTTTGGTTTGGCTCGCCATCCCATCTGACTTTTCACATGTAAATACTGTCACTTGACAGATGCACAAGACATCGGCGAGCAAATTAAGGCAAAGGCAGGAGCAGCTTGACTAGTGTGTTCAGCATTGAACTCCATTAGGTTACAGGGCCGGAGTGGGACTCCTTTTCAGCCCTGGAGTTTCAAGACTCAGACCGGCCCACCTCAGTTCATGACTGACCATATTAAAATGTTCAACAACCCTAACAGTATTATATGTCTTAACAATAAAAATGAAAAAAATAACATACTCAAACGAGGATCAAACCCGGGTCGGCAGCATCGTAATCTAAACTGCTAACCACTGGACCACAACAGTTATATATTGGGAGGTGACTCATCTAACATATATATATCATCATTAACCTGCAGGCTGGTTATACATAAATTAATGAATAAGAAGACTGTGGTCAAGTAAATAAATAAATTAATTTAAAAAGTGTGACTGCTGAGAGCAACAGATTCTGGAGCTAGGGACACCGGCCCTCGCGGCCAAAAAACGGACCGGCCCACCGGGAATTCTCCCGGGCCTCCCGATTAGCCAATCCGGGCCTGTTGTGTTATAAATGGGATTGTTTATATTTTTACAGTAATGAGATCATTATAAACAGTTCAAAATGATACTGCATCATTAATTAATGTGTTTTAAAGGAACGTTTTTTAGTTATTTTAAAATCTTAGCAAATGAATTAGGAAATTATCCATGGCTAATTTAATGTAATACAATTTGGTATATTCAACTTTGGCCCACAGCCTTTAATTAAGCTTGGGTTTTGGCTCTTTATAAGAAAAGGTTTGGGTAACTTTGTTCTAGACAAGTAAAACATATTGTCTTGTTTTTAAGGAATAAAAAGTCAAAACTAAGTGAGTTTTTTCCTTAAAACAAGCAAAATAATCTGCCAATAGGGTAAGTGAAATAATATTATTTTAAAGCAAATACTAAATTTTTTTTCATACGTTGGCAGATTATTTCGCTTGTTTTAAGGAGAAACACTCATAATTTTGAGTTATTTTGGATTTTTTTTTTTTTTTTTACTTCCATCTTGATGTAAAACTTTTTAGATATTTCTACTAAAGAAACTAAGAAAATAATGATACCGCAGTGCAGTATCGTGGTAAAAAAGTCTTGTCACAAGCAAGTTTCACTTGTACATATGACTATATATATAAAGGTTTAACTCAGTTAACGTGAATTTAGCTTTCTAAATTTATACACAGTCTTAAACAGTTGGCTCTCAGTAAAAATTTTAAAAGAATAAATGATTAAAATTATGGTTAGTAAAGACATAAACCATAAACATATGGTTAGTATGGTAAAATGACAGTAAAAACATTTTAAAGTTTGCAAGGTTGTTTCTATTTTAAATTCTGTTCATTCAAACTTTCTATTAATCTAAGAATCCTAAAAATATGTTAGCGTTTCCACAGAAAGATGAAGTTGCACAACTGTTTTCACTGTAATAATGATTGAAACAATTTCTTGAGCACCAAATCACCTTTTAGAAGGATTTCTGGAGAATAATGTTACCATTTGAACTGTTTATGTTGTGTTTTTAATTAGATGAGTGCAGAATTGGTTTACTTAACAGGCTTCTAGGTAACACTTTAAATTAAGGTGATGTAGTGACCCATGTTCCATGCACTTACTGTTATAACGATTAATTATGCATAATTAAATGTAACTAACCCTATACCTAAACAACATTCTAACCCCAACCATAGGTAAATGTAGTTAAAGGGGTGGTCCACTACAATATCATATTTTAACTTTAGTTGATGTGTAATGTAGCTGTGTGAACTAAAACAACATCTCTAAATGTTATACGTTCAAAGTTCAATGCAAAGGGAGATATTGGCTTTTACAGAGTTAGCTTAGAAAAGTCTACAGCGAACGAAGTGTAGGGACTACAAAAAATACATCCGGGCTAATAATGTCATAAACCCTTCAGGTTACACACATACACCCCGCGCAGCGAAGGGGCGTGGCCAAAGGCGCTGTAAAGCTATAACAGAGATGCTTCCTGGTGACGTGGCGCTGATCTGCGAATCACAGCACATTATGTTAGCTGATCAATCAGAGCCTCCTGAGGACGGGTCTTTAGACGAACAAGGAAATATGACAGTCGTTTTCATGTTAGCTGAGTAGCAGTATAAAATCAAAGTAAGATATATGAAAAAATAACCTGATTTTCTACAAATGAAGCATGGGCTCACATTGCTTTGCATTTTATAAATACAACCAAGCCTTAATAATACACTCTGGACCACCCATTTAATTAAAAGTAGTTAAAGAATAGGTACACTGTAACTATATCACCTTAAAATTAAAATAAAGTGTTCCTGACTTATTTCAAAAGTCATGCTTATAAAATGTGTAAAATATTTACTGTATGTGTAAATGAAATTTGTCATTTGTCATAATATACATATGCAAATCAACTGAACTAGACCTAAAACCTGAAATGTACCTCTGTCTTTCTCAACAGGGTGAACCGGGCCTGAAAGGAAACAAAGGAGAGGTACAAAACATAACAACTGTTGTCAAAGTCTCACAGCCGGTTCCTCATGAGTCACAATCTTACGGGTTCTCACTTCCCTACAAGAGACTAAAACAAGATACAAGGTTTTGAGGCTAGAACCATTGTGGGATCTTTTTGCAACTCAATCACAATTTTTTACATTGCTCATATGATCAGATGTGACCAAAAGCTGAAGGATTCATAGAAACATATGTATTTCTTTCTGATATTTATGAATTCATTTTGTTGCATCATTGGAAATGAATAGAGATTTCCTTTCCACTTACTCTCAGCCAGGTGTAGCTGGAGATCCTGGGAACAGAGGCGCTGATGGGAAAAAAGGAGACGTGGGTCTGCCAGGGCCTCCCGGATCTCAAGGCTTTTCAGGACTAGATGGGTTACCAGGACAACCAGGACTTCCAGGTTACCCAGGGAAACCAGTGAGTGTGATATTTATGAATATTTATACAAAAGCCCCTTTCACACAGTGATACCGGAAAATATCCGGAAAATTTACGGAACGACTTTACCGGTATGTTCAAAAAAGCGCTGTTCACACAGGCGAGGACGTTACGGAAATTTTCCGGAAAAGAGCATTCACACATCCATTCCAAAATACCGGTAAATTCTGACATCATTCACCACAAATGAGCTTTAAACGGCAGCGCTTGTATTTGTAAACATTTGACTAAATTACAAACTCTTTTGATGATCAATATTGTAAACAACTTTCACAGGATCATATTTGCATGTCGAGGTGTTCATAATATGTGCGTGTGCTGCCGCTCACAGGCTGTTTCATGGGCACACGCAAAGCTTGAAGGTAAACAAACAACGGCTTATCATAAGCATCTTATCGATGATTATTTGCACAGTTGGCATTAAGGAGAACATATAAACGTGATCTGACTAACTTCTAGCAGCTAAATGCGTCTGGAAAAATATTCAAAGGTTTTTATTCTTACCAACCGCGCGGACGTAAATGCGTCTGACTGTTTTGATTGGCTAAAGCAGAAGTCTTACGTCAGCACGTTCTAGACGTGCACGCGCTTATTCCGGAAATATTCCTTCTGCGTTCACACAGCGCAGCATTCCGGCAAATTGCCGGTAATGTTACAACTTCTCTTTCCGGAAAATAGCCAGAACGAATTTACCGGTATTTTCAAAAAGGACCTGTTCACACATACAACCTTTCCGGAAAATTGCCGGTAATTTTCCGGAAAGGTCTGTATGTGTGAAAGGGGCTAAAGTGTACATGATAGTGATGGTCTTGTTCAAATGTGACACACTGTGTGTTACAGGGAAAACCGCCTTCAGAAGAGCAGCTGATGAAGATCTGTGCTGCTGTGCTTCAAAGTAAGTTCAAATGGACTGGTAAGACTCCCATTTCACTGCAATAAAATTGTGAAGTTGACATCGTTAAAGGTGCCATAGAATGCATTGTAACATTAGGTTAAATAGTTTTATTATATCTAAATTGAAGGTATGTGGCCTGGGGAAGTGCAAACAATATCCAGTAAAGGTTTTTACAGGTTCATTCTCAATCCTAAGAATTGGCGCTATTATGGTATGCTTGGTTTTGACCATATTTGGAAGGGTTGTAAATTTTAATGAGGTCTGCTCTGACGGTCTAGCACCTGATGTCAGTGCCTGACACTCTCAAAAACAAAAACAGACACAAACAGGGGCGGGATATACTCAGAATTACACACATGTACATTAATCATGCTTCAGTTGTTAAATTATTTTTTAACAAATTAAGTAGATTCCTTGTAAAATCTTTTCAGCTAAAGTGGTGGCGAGGTTTATTTTAGCTAGAAGGAGTGTGTCTTTTTGACACCAGAAAAAGTTATGTTATGGACGAAATATAGGCTACATTTCAACTATACTGGACAAAATGGGCTGACAGATACATTTGAGGTTGTATTTTGTGTATTTAATGTTGTAACATGTGAAAACACAGACAGGAATTAATATCAACCTTTACGAGTTAGCATGCTTTCACTCCAAAAACATGATAGTCAGAGCTGAGTGGTATGACATGATGCATAAACATACATTAAATACTCATATAAAGCAGTTTACATGTGTTTGTTGCGTCATTACAAATGAATGTGACACATTTCATCATATACATATCCTAACAAAAGATACAGTTAAACAGACCGTATGCCTCTTTGGGGTGATGCTAAAAATATTTATAATCTGTATATCCTGCATTTTGCATTGTGGTGAGCTGTGAGCACTCTGCAGTCATGCACGGTTGCCTGCTTCATAAAACCACTCCTTTATTCTAACTTAAAACCTGTCCCATTTTCAAAATAAGAGTCCCACATACATAGAAAGTATTATATAAGTTTAGATAAGTTTTAGTTTGTTTAAAATCAATAATACTCACTGCCTGATTGAGATACAGTTTAAAGTAGGTTTCACACTGCACAAGAAGCACTGCTTTAAATTCCAGTTTTTCATGCCATGTCTTTAAAGTCACCATAAATTGATTCAATTACTTTTAATCTATGCCGTAAAGGGAATAGGGCTGCACGATATTGGAATAATTTGATGTCATATTTTGTTTTGACATAATATATATTGTGACAAGAATACAATTTCACCAGATTCAATTCAATTCAATTCAGCTTTATTTGTATAGCGCTTTTAAAATGTAGATAGTGTCAAAGCAGCTTCACATAAATGGTCATAGTAATTGGAACAGAGTTGTTCAGTTTTTAGTGTTTAAGTTCAGTTTAGCTCAGTTCAGTGTGGTGAATGATGATTGAATAGCTCTATTTGGAAACATTTCATTCAATAAGTTTGGGATGATCAAGTATTTATCTTTGCAGTGGATTTGCATGAATTATAATAAATTACTAGCAAAAATAAAAGAAATAAACAGTGCTTTATGGTTTTCTGGTGAGCCTAACAGTATTCATGTAAAGAAATTGAACAATCAAATGTAAAATAACATGGTCATCATTTTGAAAATTATTTATATATATATATATATATATATATATATATATATATATATATATATATATATATATATATATATATATATATGTATGTATCCAATCCTGCGATGTGACTACTGCAGATACACACATTGCGATATTGATGCTCAAACAATATAATGTCCAGTCCAAAAAAGAAACATGAAACTTAAAATAGTCGCATCAACCTTTCACTAGAAGTTAGAGGTGTCTGTATATCCAGATTGACACCTTTAAGATGCCTAATGAAATATGCAGCTCTATTACTTTTGATCATACTTTTGCTTCAATCTGTAATCAAATTTATAACCATAAGCAAAACATTTGGTTAACAAATCATGCTTATGCAAGAATTTATAACCTAGTGACCAATATTTGCTGAAAACCAACTTAGCAACACAGCCACAACATAATATTAATAATAGTATTAATAAGAATCTTTACTTTTATATAGCGCCTTTAAAAGTAGCATCTCATAGCACTTTACAGACATATAAATTGTACAGGAGTAAAAGGTACATAGAAGGATGAATGCAAAAAAAAATTGAATAATAACAATAATTAAAAACACATGAAATAATAATAATATTAATACAATATCTAAAGTTTTGTCGTTGATCCCAGTTGTAAGACCAACAAATAATAATTTGAATTCTAGTTGATCATTTGGAAAAGTGACAGAAGGTCGATTTTTTCCAATGAATAATCTGTCAAACTGCATCCCAATCATCACAAATACTGCAGAAGACCTATTGGAACCTGCATGGACCCAAGATTCTCATAGATATCAGTCAAGTTTGGTAAAGGAAAAATCATGGCTTGGGTTTACGTACATTCAGTATGGAGCCATGCAAGAGATCTGCAGAGTGGATGGCAACATCAACAGCCTGAGGTATCAAGACATATGTGCTGCCCATTACATTACAAACCACAGGAGAGGGCAAATTCCTCAGCAGGATAGCGCTAATTCTCATACTTCAGCCTCCACATCAAAGTTCCTGAAAGCAAAGAAGGTCAAGGTGCTCCAGGATTGGCCATCCCAGTCACCAGACATGAACATTATTGAGCATATCTGGGGTAAGATGACGGAGGAGGCATTGAAGATGAATCCAAAGAATCTTGATGAACTCTGGGAGTCCTGCAAAACGCTTTCTTTGTCATTCCAGATGACTTTATTAATAAGTGATTTGAGTCTGCAGAGATGTCTGGATGCAGTCCTCCAAGCTCATGGGAGTCAAACACAATATTCATTCTGTTTCCACTGCAGCATGACTTTATTTTCTATACTGGACATTATTTATGTTAAGCGACAAGACTTTTGTCCTAGCAAAGTCAGACCTTACTGTCCTAATTAAATCATTAACAATCATGGCATGATCATATTTTACTTTGGTAAAATAAGTGTAATCTAGAGGCCTTTGCCTTTCATATAAGCCACTTCTGATACCAAATGATCAACTAGAAGTAAAGCTTATTATTTGTTGTTCCTAAAACTTGTATAGGCGACAAGGTAAGGCTGTCAGGTAGTGTATATCTAAAAATCATCTAAAAGCTACCCTAAAAAAGTACGTTTTAAGTAAAAGTATCAGAGGGTAAAGAGTTCCACAAATTAGGTGCCAAGAGAATGCTCAATCTCCCATAGATTTTAGTCGCGTTGACTGTGCAGTTAAAAGACTAGCTTCAGATGAATGTAAAGCACTTGGGGTGTATGGATTTAAAAGCTCAGATAAATATTGTGATGCTAGACCATTCAAGGACTTGTACACAGGCGTGAGGATTTTAAAATCAATTCGAAAACGGACAGGAAGCCAATGCAATTTCTTTTCAAAGTAGAAGTTATGTGTTTTCTTCCACTGGTCCTAGTCAGAATTTAAAGCGGCTGAATTTTGTACTAATTGTAACTTGCTTAGGGTATTGTTCTTGGGACTCCAGCCAACAACTAAGCAGTTAAGGTGTTAATTAATTTTTCAGCTACAGAAAAGGGCAACATGGAATGAAGTTTGGAAATGTTTCTCAGATTTAAAAAACAACAACGTCTTGACTGTGTTTCGCACATGTGGATCAAGTGTAAAATTGGCATCAAAAGCCACACCCAGATTTTTTTTAGTTCTCTCCCTCTACAACCTCACAATACTGTCTAATAACTTTTCCACAGAGCATCACTAGTATTTTTAAAAGTGTTTCTTTATTAATAAGCATTTTGTTTTGCCATCTAGTAATTTTGGAAGAAAGACTTGAGATACTCAGGAGCAACTGTGTTTATGTTAAATGTGTGGATGTGTGCCTCGTGGTTAGATAGCTAAAACATATAGTGTTAGCACTGACGCAACTTTCAGTTCTCTGAAAAAAAGAGGAAAAGGTTAAAAGAGCTTGTGAAATCCATGTGCTGAGCCAGCACAAAACTACATTTTAAATATGTCTGCTATACTGGCGTATATTACACCATCTTCACCATTATAAATGATGCTGGATGTTTTCACATATTGTTAGACAGTCAGATGGTTATTATTGCAAAATCAAAAGTCCACCTCAAACATTTGTGCTTGCTCATTGCATATGATTAGGTAAATACTCACTCAATCACTCACTCACTCACTATCCTTTGGCTTAGTCCCTGATTTATCAGAGGTCGACAAAGTAAAATGATCCTCAGATTAAGTAAAGGAATTAATTAACAATTGAATGTTGTATTGTGAGGATTAGAGACATGAAACAGGAACAAACTAGTGGTCAATAGGATGTAAAATGACTTTGTTGTACAAAAATGCTTGACCATAGAACAACGCTGTTCACTAGAATCTTACTAGAACTATGATAAGCTGCTGTGACACAATCTACATTGTAAAAAGCGCTGTGTAATGCAAATAAACATGAATTGAACTGAATTAAATAGAATCAAATATTCAATAAAATTGTACTTTGTGTGAGGTGATGACCTCAGTTATTTGTAAATCTGGTTTGTTGACCAGGAAAATGATCAAAATATAAATCAAAAACATGCACTTTTTTTTTAATTACAAATTTTGTTGTGATATCCAATTTTTTTATAACTGCTGATGGAAGACTAAAATAAAACTGAATTATTTAAATGATAATTTTAATGTACATTTTTTACTTCTCTTTAGCTGATTTTTATGTGGATTTCCAACATATGCCCTCTTTTGTCCTAAGAAACTACTTTATTTTATTGCTACTTTATAGTAACATTATTTCATATACTGTACATGTATGAGTGTTCCTTTCAGATGCTAAATGTATGAAAGAGAACTATTTAAATGAATTACGCAACATGATTTGCTGATGTTTGCAGTAGTCAGATTACTGGAATTTGCTCCATTTTTTAAAGGATGTCTCAGCCCATGTTGTGCCTGTGTTACTGATTATTGTTGGTAGATATTAACTGTTGATTATTATTGAAATGGGCGAGGCAGTGGCACAGTAGCTAGTGCTGTCGCCTCGCAGCAAGAAGGTCGCTGGTTCGAACCTCGGCTCAGTTAGTGTTTCTGTGTGGAGTTTGCATGTTCTCCCTGCCTTCGCGTGGGTTTCCTCCGGGTGCTCCGGTTTCCCCACAGTCCAAATACATGCAGTACAGGTGAATTGGGTAGGCTAAATTGTGTGTGTGTGTGTATGTTTCCCAGAGATGGGTTGCGGCTGGAAGGGCATCCGCTGCGTAAAAAACTTGCTGGATAAGTTGGCGGTTCATTCCCCTGTGGCGACCCCGGATTAATAATAAGCCGACAAGAAAATAAATGAATGAATGATTATGGAAATTAGCTTCTTTGTTGCAGTTCTTTAATTTGTACATTGTCAGCAGAAATACTCATAGATCTTGGCACCCATCTGCTCTTTTATACAATTGCAGTCTCTCGCTATTTATTTTGCCCCGTTTAGCAAATCTGTTTGCTATTCTAATGCCAGATACCAGTCAAAAAGGGATAAGTCACCCAAAAATGTAAATGACCTCATCATCTGATATGTTTTTTTTCTTCTGTTGAACACAAAAGAAGATACTGTAAGTACTGTATGCTTGTATCTGGCGCCCATTGACTTCCATAGTAGGAAACATATTACATAGCAAGTCAATATGTACCAACATCAACCAGCATTCTTCAAAATATCTTATTTTGAGTCCAATGGAAGAAAGAAACTCAAATAGGTAATAGGGGAAGGGTGAGTAAATGATGACAGATTTGACTTTTGGGTGAACTGTCTCTTTAAGAAGCGATATTCCCTTAACAGCCCAGCTGCCACAGCTCCTGCAGGCAATGGAGCAAAGAAGCTGCCAGCACTGTGAGACCAAACGAGGGCCAGCAGGCGATCCAGGTCCCCCAGGCCCAACGGGCCCATCTGGACCACCAGGGTATCCTGGCAGGGCAGGGTCTCCAGGATATCCAGGACCTCCGGGCAGCAGAGGGCCTGAGGGAGTCAAAGGTGATTATACTGTGATTATAAATTCACAGGAAGATTAGAGACAAGTACTAAAACGATTTGATGTTTTTCTTATAGGTGATATTGGTCCGATGGGTATAAAAGGTGCTAAAGGACAGGGTGAAATTGGGTTGCCAGGTCCACCTGGCCAACAAGGTAAAAAAATAAATAGAAAATACTAATGCATGACAGTAGTTATTTATTATTATTATTATGGTCACTTTATTTTAAGGTACAGTTCTCGCTTCATAACAAACCATTAACTAATGCTGCGTCCCAATTCGCATACACATACTAAGCCCTAAAAGTATGTACTTTTTTGTGAAGGAAAAATATTTACTTTTGAATGTGTAACAAGAATATGCTAGCTTTGGGACATACTACTTCCTCGTTAACAGATCGCTACGTTGCTTAGTTATGAGCCCTGTCAATCATCCACATTTCTGTCATATTTCATTTCCTACCTTATTGGAGAAGCAGCAGCAGGTTAATCTGCCATTCACAAGTCTTTCATGCAGAGAAATCTCCTCAGGTCTTTAGATAATTCTGCATTCAGCGGTTAATGTCCAAACACGTCTTTATATCAGTTCACATTGTTGTTGCAGATAAAATATGACAGAAAACGCCATTTAAATATTCTCCAGTGGGCCAGATATTAATTAACAGTCATACAAACATCTTTACCAAAACCTCTCTACTTGAGAGTTGGTCTCACATGTTTGAAGTTTATTTACACTTTTCACCCGCGTTTGTAGTTCTAATCAAATTCTCGTCCAACTTGCAATGTACTGTGGGCGGTGTCAGCGGTTAGAGTATGGACGCTACTACACTTAAATATTTTACTGGAAATAGTAAACCCTCCCAGAACCTTTGGCATACTCTTTTCAACATACTACGATTTGGGACAGACTAATTCTATTTTCAAATACAATTTAGGACGTATAGTATGTGAATTGGGACGCAGCATAAGTCTTTTAGCTCAACAATCTACTAAACTGCTGCTTAATAATAATTATTAAAGTAGTAGTTGGGTTTAGGTTTTGAACAGGACTGGAGAAGTAGAAAAAGATCATATTTTATTAGGACTAATAAACAGTTAATATCTTAATTATATACAGAAAATAAGAAAATTAGTACTTAAACTAAAGTGTTATAAGTCTTAATTTGTTTGTTTGTCTTTGCAAGTATGTCCAAAAATAATGTTATCTTTTTCTTAGGATTGCAAGGTTCACGTGGGGATGACGGTGAGGGATATCCTGGGCCTTCTGGTCCACCAGGGAAATCTGGCACTCCGGGCATCCCAGGCAAACGTGGGCCCCCAGGGTCTATGGGTGTTTGTGACCCATCCTCTTGTTATCAAGCCTATGGCTTTCGGGACGATCCTTTCAGGAAAGGACCCAACTTTTAGGGTCAGGATGATCCTGTACAGTTTGTTTTTCTTTCTCAAATGGACATTTCTGGTGCTCAGCATTGACCTCAGGAACTTACAACCTCTAAAGCCGTTTCTTAACCACGTTTCTGGAGGACCACCAGCTCTGCACATTTTCCATGTCTCCTTAATCAAACACACCTGATTCACATCATCAGCTCATTAGCAGAGGTGAAAATGGGTGTGACAGACAAAGGAGACATCCAAAGCCTTCAGTGCTGGTGGTCCTCTAGGAGCATGGTTGAGAAACACTACTCTAAAGTATGATGTCACGATCTTGACTTTAAACGTGTGACTTGTTTTCCTCTCTGAGAATCTAGTGTTGAATGTGTTTCTACTTACGCTAACTGTAAAAAAAACATGTGTCTTCCATCCCTTTTACAAAACATACCTATAGTAGCAATTCTCTTCAGTTTACAGCTAAATTGAAGACTGGGGGCAGTGAAACACTAAATTGTATGCCTCACATTAATATCAACGTTTTTAATGAACATGGCTCAGTAGCTCGTCTGGTAGCAAGGTAGCATAGTTGCTTTAGCAAATACACTGTTAGAAACACTATCAGTTTATAATTAGAATTTGTTATAGGTGATTTCTAAATTGCAGCGGCATGAACCATCTTCTCTCCTTGCCATACATTGAATAAAATGTCATTTTAGTGCCCCTCATTAGGCATTTTCCTTTAAACTGCTGTAAAATGCACTAAAGGAAATGTAATATACTCTAACTTCTGCAAAAAATGTCACTATAGACATATTTTCTTGAGCCTAGCTGTTTAAGATGCTTATTCATTTATATAAAAATCATCATGACGCATGTCCTGCCGGCTATTTATTTAATTATCGGGAGCTCCAAAAAACTGACACAGCTAGCTTCATAAAAATAGTCACTTTTCTGAAGCCATACAGTAGCTTTGAGCTGGAAACACTAAAACGTATATCAGTATTTGGTGAAAATGCTTTCAAACATTGCGCATTGTTTGCGTATTGTACGTAGATCATTGATTCTCATTCATCCTGTGACCAATTTATTTGTCAGTTTTAGCTTTTGTTTTGGATGAACTGTTCCTTTACAGAAAACTATAAGAAAACTATACTGTATCCACTGCACTGCCCGACAAGCTACCTCTGCACGGGATGTGAAGCAATTTCTATGGGCTTTATGTTAAGATTTGAGAAACCCAAGGGCTGTTTTGTGTTTGTTACTTTTTATAGGAACATTTTAACTACTATTTGTCTTCATATATATTTAATTACCCTTTTTAGTTTGACTATTTGAACATGTCTCGTAGAATTTAGCTGTCGTTTTTTTAGCACGTCTGTTTTGTTTGACTGTGCAAAACTCAGTAATTATCATCTATTTATTATTTAATGTTTTTTATTCATTCATTGTTAATGCATGTAGCATTTTAGTCTGGTTTGAACTTGATTGATTTGTGCAGCTGACATTTGAAACTCTTAGGATTACAATAAAACATTTACTTGAATTGTTTCATTATTAGTTCTTTTGCTTGTAACACTTGCATCGTTCTGTCAAAAAGAAACAAAGAAATTTAAAAATACTTAAACTCAAGGGCTGTTTTATATTTGCTACTTTTAACAAGAATGTTTTCACCGGCCACTTTATTAGGTACACCTGTCCAGCTGCTCGTTAATGCCAACTTCTAATCAGCCAATTTGATGCATTTAGACATGTAGACATGATCAAGACGATCTGCTGCAGTTCAAAGCGAGCATCAAAATGGGAAAGAAAGGTGATTTAAGTGACTTTAAACATGGTATGGTTGTTGGTGCCAGACGGGCTGGTCTGAGTATTTCATAAACTGCTGATCTACTGGGATTTTCATGCACGACCATCTCTAGAGTTCACAGAGAATGGTCTGAAAAAGAGAGAATATCCAGTGAGCGGCAGTTCTGTTGGCGCACATGCCTTGAAGATGCCAGAGGTCAGAGGAGTATGGCCAGACTGGTTCCAGCTGATAGAAAGGCAACAGTAACTCAAATAACCACTCGTTACAACCGAGATATGCAGAAGAGCATCTCTGAACACGTCGATCCTTGAGGCGGATGGGCTACAGCAGCAGAAGACCACAATGGGTGCCACTCCTGTCAGCTAAGAATGGGAAACGGAGGCTTCAATTTACACAGGTTCACCAATATTAGACAATAGAAGATTGGAAAAACATTGCCTGGTCTGATGAGTCTTTATTTCTGCTGCGACATTCAGATAGTAGGGTCAGAATTTGGCGTCAACAATATAAAAGCATGGATCCATCATCCCTTCTATCAACAGTTCAGGCTGGTAGTGGTAGTGTAATGGTGTGGGGAATATTTTCTTGACACACTTTTGGTCCATTAGTACCAATTAAGCATCGTATCAACACCACAGCCTACCTGAGTATTGTTGCTGACCATGTCATTTTATGACCACAGTGTATCCATCTTCTGATGCCTACTTCCAGCAGGATAACGCCCCATGTCATAAAGCGTGAATCATCTCAGACTGGTTTCTTGAGCATGACAGTGAGTTCACTGTACTGAAATGGCCTCAACAGTCACCAGCTCTCAATCCAAAAGAGCACCTTTGGGATGTGGTAGAACGGGAGATTCACATCATGGATGTGCAGCTGACAAATCTGCAGCAACTGTGTGATGCTCTCATGTCAATATGGATCAAAATCTCAGAGGAATATTTCATTGTTGAATCTATGCCATGAAGGATTGAGGCGGTTCTGAAGGCAAAAGTGGGTCCAACCCGGTAGTTGTAAGGTGTACCTAATAAAGTGGCCGGTGAGTATACTTTTCAGTTTGATCACTTGAACATGTCTGGTAGAATGTAGCTGTCGGTTGACTGTGCAAACCTCAGTTATTATCGTCTATTTATTATTTTCTTATAATTAATATTTATAATATTTATTATTTTCTTTGTTAATGCATGTAGCATTTTAGTCTGGTTTGAACTTGATTGATTTGTGCAGCTGACAATTGAAACTCTTAGGATTACAAAAACATTTGCTTGAATTGTTTCATTGTGGCTCAACTCTCTGTCTTAAAGGAAATGAAAAGAAATGCTCCATGTCATTCTATTAATAGTGTTTTTTGCGTACTGCTGACGGTGTCGGATTTGAAACACTCTTCAGTTTCAGGATGTGTGCTGCTGGGTTTTTCTCGGTAGCCTACATCTCGCTTGCGTCAGTTTATTCTAAGCTGCGGAGAGTTTCACACTCGCTCCTTTACTCAAGCCATCGGTGAGTGAAGCCAAACATATGATGATCTCAGAATAACCTCAATTTAAAGATGCATACTAATCATATCGATTTTATTCCAGCAGACTGCAAGACACCAAAAATGGTTGACACTAATTGGAGTGATTTCGAGAGTTTTTTCAACGAGACATACAGTGAGGAGACCTATGAAGGCAGCATCGTAACCGCAGAGGTAATTTTATGCAAGAAAGCCGATGTGATTCGATTCAGTGCTGCATTTCTTCCAGCGTTTTACTATATTAACTTCTTGCTGAGCTTGCTTGGGAATGGACTGGTGCTGTGTATCATCTACAAGTTCGAGAAGCTCAGCACGGTCACCAATATCTTCTTACTCAACCTCGTGATATCAGATCTCATCTTCGCCTCCAGTCTTCCCTTTTGGGCAGTCTACCACAAATCCGAATGGATCTTCGGTAAGAATCTTTGCAAGTTTGTCGGCAGCTGTTACTCAGTCGGCTTCAACAGCTCCATCCTTTTCCTCACCCTCATGACTTTTGACCGCTATTTAGCCGTGGTCCACTCCATCGCAGCAGCCCAGAGCAGGAGAATGGCATATGCATTCGGATCATCCGCCGCTGTTTGGGTGGTCAGTATTGTGGCTAGCATCAAGGATATAGTTCTGTACGACGTAATGAAAACAGAAGACGGTTTGCTTTGCGAAATGACCGGTTACAATCAGACATTCCTCACAAAGTGGGAGCTTATCGGCTATTATCAGCAGTTTTTCCTCTTCTTTATGGTTCCTCTGATTATCGTTTTGTACTGCTATGTTCGGATCACCATCAGAATCATGTACACGAGACTGATGGAGAAGTGCAGGGCGGTCAAGCTCATTTTTATCATTGTGTTCACCTTCTTCATCTGCTGGACGCCTTACAATGTGGTCATCCTGTTAAAAGCCATTAAGACGTACTTCAAGGTCCAGAACGATTGCTCGAATGCTCTCGATTACGCGCTGTATGTGACTCGCAACTTTGCTTATCTCTACTGCTGCATCAGTCCTGTCTTCTACACTTTTTTGGGGAAGAAGTTCCAGAGTCATTTTCTGAAGCTTCTGTCCAAGCGTATACCATGTCTGAAGATTGATGCCATGTGGTCTACACAGAGCAGTAAGAACACGTCATTCAGGAGCCCAAATACTGATTTTTGAGCATTTTTAGTGGCGGACAGGTGAACAAAAGATTTGTTTAGAAATGTGTCATTGAGAGGACACAAAGAATCAAGAGAGTCTGAAATCCAATCTTCATTTGAATTAAAAGTTCACCAGAAAATTAACATTCCTCCATCATTTACTTGTTCCTAACCAGTTTGAGTTTTGTTGTGAAGATATTTGTTGAAGATGTTAAATTGTTAAGATGTTTTTGTTAAAATAAGATGTTTAGAAGAACAATAAAAAAATTCATTCATTGATTTTCATCCGCTTTTCCGGGGCCATGCCGTGAGGGCAGCAGTCTCAGGAGAGAACCCTTGACTTTCCTCTCCCCAGACACTCCCTCCAGCTCCTCTGGGGGGATCCCGAGGCATTCCTAGACCAGTCAAGAGACATAGTCCCTCCAGCATGTCCTAGGTCTTCACCAAGGCCTCCTCCCGGTGGGACATGCCTAGAACACCTCCCTAGGTAGGCGTCCAGGAAGCATCCGAAACAGATGCCCGAGCCACCTCAGCTGGCTTCTCTCGATGTCGATGAGCAGTAGCTCTACTCCGAGCTCCTCCCGGTTGACAGAGCTCCTCACCCTTTCTATAATGGCCCGTTTCCACTGAGTGGTGCTGTACGGTTCGGTTTGCTTTTATGGCCGTTTTCACTGTCAAAAGGTAACTAAAAGCGAACTGTATTGTACCACTTTTTAGGTACCCTTTCGAAGGGATATCTAGCACAATAAAATTGACAGAGAAGCGTCACTAGCTCGTGCACAAGCCAGGAGAATAAAAACAAAGGAAGTGCCATTATTAAATACCCAGCCAAGAGATTACATCGTATTGATGTATACATATAATAACGAGCCTTGGTTGACCCGAGCTTAGACAAACCTTGTCGTCATATTGACGAATAGCCACAAAGTTAAGAAGAAGAACAGAATTTACCTTGTGCCTCGTAGTTGTTCACAAGGCCTTTCAAATCGCGAGCCGCTTCTCTTTCTCTACCATCGGTACCCTTTTGGCAGTGGAAACGCAAGTCTGATAAAGATGACCTGTACCAACCTGTTCCATACCATACCACTCAGTGGAAACAGGCCACGTGGGTGTAACATGCCACTCTACTCTTGCATTGAGATCTTGCCCTTTCAGTCCTGACCCAAAGCTCATGACCATAGGTGAGAGTAGGAATGTAGATTGACCAGTAAATCGAGAGCTTTGCCTTTCGGCGCAGCTCCTTCTTTACCACAACATAGCATTACTACAGCCGCTGCACCGATCCGCCTGTCAATCTCACGTTCCATCCTTCCCTCACTCATGAACAAAATCCCAAGATACTTGAACTCCTCCACCACGGGTAAGGAGTTTCCTCCAAACTGGAAATGGCAAACCACCTTTTTCCAGTGGAGCACCAAAAAACTCAAATTAAATTGGCTGTTTGTTCAAACTACTTATTAAATTGAGCTGAAACTACACACTTGTTCTACTCACTTAAATAAGTAAAAACTACTAAGCTAACCTAATTCCTTCATGTTGCCCCAACACCAATCAATTGTGTGCCTTATTTACAGTGAATGTTGGAAACCTGTAGCCACTGACGCCATAGTGTTTGGAAGTGGTTACGTTTTCCAACACTCTTCAAAATATCTTCTTTTGTGTTCAAAACAACAGAATCGCTAATCAAATATGCAACCACTCTTTTGATTTCATTTTATTGACTATAATGTATTGTAATGTGGGTATATATTGTACTATTTTTTTATATTGTTAAACCTGTTACAACTTCCTGCCCATCGACTTCAGATGTAAATGAGCTTTATAGCTAACTTTGGCACAACATGTATTAAAAAAAATAAAAATGAAATAAAGAAAAATAAAAACTCAAACTGGATTGGAACAAGGGAAGACTCAGTAAAGGATGAATTTTCACTTTTGGGTGAACGATCCTTTTAAATGTAGAGTATATTCTGCCACATGGGCTTACTTTTATCTAACGTACATATTTGACTGAAAGCTCTCATTTAATGCATTGTGCATCTGAGCTCCATCACATTGAGAAAACAAAAGCATTGATGTAATTGCGGTCATTTGTTGTACATATGTAAATATTTGTTCACAAATATTCTTTTAAATGATCTTTTTTTATACAAAAAAAAAATGTGTGAAGATTTCTGTTTCATGTCAAATCATGCTGTTGTCAAGAATTCTGATTCTTGTAAAAGGGGAAGCTTGATATCTCTTCAGTCTATCCGGTGGCCTGTTTTTTGAGCAATATGGAAACTACACCTTTTTAAAGTCCCTTTAAAGGTCTCATAAAGAGTACATTTCCCGTCCTGTCAACATTAAACTATGATGATCAAAACTCACACTCTGCATTTTGCTTATGTAATATGTCTAATTTTACTGCTTAATAAACTGCTTGGTTGTTTTTTAAGGTTTTATCTGTGGTGTGCTGTTTGTTCATGTCTTGCAGATAGTGATCATACCAACTCATTCATTTTCCTTCAGCTTAGTCTCTGTTTCAGAGGTTGCACTTCAAAAAATGTTTTTCTTACTTAGATTTTTTGTCTTGTTTCTAGTCCAAACATCTACATATTCTTAAATCAAGAAGCATTTTCTAGACAAGCAAAACATGTCGTCTTGTTTTAAGAAATAAAAGTTTTTCCTTAAATCAAGCAAAGTAATCTGCCAATGGCGTAAGCAAAATAATCTTGTTTTTCGATTTGTGATAAGATTATTTTGCTCACCCCATTGGCAGATTACTTTGCTTGATTTAAGGAAAAACTCACTTCATTTTGGCATATTATTTCTTAAAACAAGACAGTATGTTTTGCTTGTCTAGAAAATGCTTCTTGATTTAAGAACTTTTAGATATTTGGACTAGAAACAGGACAAAAAAATCTAAGTAAGAAAAGCATTTTTTGCAGTGTGCCACAGCGGAATGAACCGACAACTATTCCAGCATGTTTTACGCAGCGGATGCCCTTCTAGCAGCAACCCAGTACTGGGAAGCAGCCATACACACTCATTCACACACGTACAGTACGGCCAATTTAGTTTATTCAATTCATATAGCAGCGCATGTGTTTGGACTTTGGGGGAGCAACCGGAGGAAACCCACACGAACAAGGAGAGAACATGCAAAAACTCCACACAGAAATGCCAACTGGCCAAGCCGGGGCTCAAACCAGTGACCTTCTTGCTGTGAGGCAACAGTGCTAACCACTGAGCCATCATGCCACCATCATACAAACTTTTTAAAAATTTACTAATTCTCGTTAAGAATGACTTGACTGCATCCCTTAGATTTTCAGGTAATTGTACAGAGTGTTTCTTGGTATTTCATTGGTTTGTAATCAAGCAGCAGATCATTGCTGTGTGCATTCATGAGCAGTCATCGCTTTGCATCATTATAAAGTTTTGAAAGAAGTAGTTCTCCTCAAATGTAATGTTTTCTGAAGCTGTTTTTCTTCAATAGAACATTAAACAAAACTTCTTCTTTTAGGATTTGTAAAATGCAATGGCTTAAAAAACATACAGACGTACAGTAACAAAATTCATACCTGTGACTCACGATGATACATTGAGCTCTCATGTAGCAAGAGTTTTGTTCAAGTTTTTACTCGTAATAAATAATGTTGTAAAGAATATTTCATGTCTTGCCCAAACCAACCACTGTAAGACCACAAAGTGCATAAAAATGTCGAACATTTAAAAGTAATTTTTAATCTTCTACTGAAGGAAAAACATCTACTGTACATCGTGAATGGCCTAATCGGGTCAGTGTATTAACAGCAAATCTTCATTTTTGTGTGAACTACCCCTTTAAATCGTTATTAAAGCTACACCTACACATACACTCACCGGCCACTTTATTAGGTACACCTTACTAGTACCGGGTTGGACCCACTTTTGCCTTCAGAACTGCCTTAATCCTTTGTGGCGTAGATGCAAGAAGGTACTGGAAATATTCCTCAGAGATCTTGCTTCATATTGACATGATAGCATCACTCAGTTGCTGCAGATTTGTCGGCTGCATATCCATGATGTGAATCTCTTGTTCCACCACATGTCAAACGCGCTCTATTGGATTGAGAGCTGGTGACTGTGGAGGCCATTTGAGTACAGTGAACTCACTGTCATGTTGAAGAAACCAGTCTGAGATGATTTGAGGTTTATGACGCATTATCCTGCTGGAAGTAGCCATTAGAAGATGGGTTCGCTGTGGTCATAAAGCACAGGTGTCAAACTCAGTTCCAAAAGGGCCGCAGCTCTGCACAGTTTAGTTCCAGCCCTAATTAAACACACCTGATCAAACTAATTGAGTCCTTCAAGCTTGTTTGAAACCTACAGGTAAGTGTGTTGGAGCAGGGTTGGAACTAAACTGCGCAGGGCTTCGGCCTTCCAGGAATTGAGTTTGACTCCCCTGTCATAAAGGGATGGACATAACGTCAAATTCTGACCCTACCATCCAAATGTCGCAGCAGAAATCGAGACTCATCAAACTCCTCCACCTAAAGGTTGGACGTGTTGTGCGTTCAGAGATACTCTTCTGCATAACTCAGTTGTAATGAGTGGTTATTTGAGTTACTGCTAAGCTTTCACTCATCATAACACACGTGCTGCTGATGATGTGACAATAAAAGTGATTTGATTACTATTGCCGTTCTATCAGCTGGAACCAGTCTAACCATTCTCCTCTGACCTCTGGCATCAATAAGGCATTTGCGCCCACAGAACTGCCGCTCACTGTATATTTTCTCTTTTTCGGACCATTCTCTGTAAAACCTAGAGCAGTGGTTCTCAAACTTTTTTCATCAAGTACTACCTCAGAAAAAAATTCTCTCCAAGTACCACCAAAATGAGCAGTATTGAAATACAGTAGCGTAGTAGGCCCAGTAAAGCAGCTACAACTCTGCACAGTTTAAAAAAAATGGCAGATAAACTCAGAAATATAGGCTAAATGTCATGTATGGCATATTATATAAATAATTTTTGATAAATTTTGAAATATATTTGGCATGTACATGACATATTTCATTCCTCCGAGTACCACTAGAAGGAACCCCGCGTACCACTAGTGGTACACGTACCACAGTTTGAGAACCACTGCCCTAGAGAGATGGTTGTGCTTAAAAATCCCAGCAGATCATCAGTTTCTGAAATACTCAGACCAGCCCGTCTGGCACCAACAACCATGCCACGTTCAAGTTCACTTTGAACATTTCCTCTCCATTCTGATGCTCAGTTTGAACTGCAGCAAACGTCTTGACCATGTCTACATGCCTAAATGCACTGAGTTGCTGCCATGATTAACGCACAGTTCGACCGGTGTCCCTAATAAAGTGGCCGGTGAGTGTATTTGCTAATTGAATATTTAGGACATATTTTAGATAGGTTCAAATGATTTTAAAAGAGTGATTCGGGCTCAATAAAAAATAAAACGTTGCAAAATCATGCATAAATATGTCCCATATCTGAAAAGCTAGAAATAATCTAGAGTACACCACTTCCTAACTGTCAGTCTCTACATGACAAATTCGGTTATTTTGCCATCATTTTAGAGCTTTATTTACATTTCAGCCGTCAAAACACAGTTTCCCAGAAGCACTTTACAGCGTCAGATGAGCTCATCCAATCACATCCAAGACCGACCATCCATTTATCCACTCACATCCAAGCCCAACCGTCCTGTCGTCAAATCACTTTCAGTATTCGCAGGAGAAACCAATCAGCATCAAATTGCTATCTTGACATCCAATCAACGTCCAGACAGTCTACGGGAAACGCGCTGTGCGTGCACGGGTGGGGTGAATGACGTAACCGCGGTCATAACCAAAGGGAAAAAAAAACAGAAATCAATCTGACGGAGCGTTTCCATTGGTTACAGCCTCCTGGTACCCAGGAAAGAGGATGTAGCATCTCCTGCAGTAGCATAGCAAACAGGGCATATGAGAGGAAAGGGCGGCTGTTGTGCGGTAAATATGGGACGAAGAATGGCCTTATGAACGAGGAGGTGATGATTCACCGCCAGGTGATACTGACCCAGGTGAGCGTGTGCGTTTGTTTATGTGTGTGTTTTTCACTAATGCTCCGCTAGCTAGGCGTGATGCTGTGTGTGTAGCGAGAGGCAGTGCACGGCAGCAGTCTCTGGGCTTCAGATGTGTAGCGTCCTGCGATGAAAGGCAGTTTTAAAGAGGTGTTTGGGTTTATTTGGCTTGTCCTTATTCAGTTATGTTGAACATAAGTCGCGGCCTCGCGCGTCTTTGTGTGGTGCGCGCTCTCGTTTGCGTGCACGTGCGTGTGTATTTGGCCCAGATGAGCACACTCATCCTCGTTCTTGAACCCTATACTCACCACTAAAACACAAATCGATGAGCTAACACAACATCTGAAACAATGTAGACATCACACACAAGTATATCTACAGTATATACAACTCCATCTTTCTTTATTTATATAAATATTTCCCACATCAATACATGTTCTACCTTTATAGACAGTAAGTAAGCAGCTTTGGCAGGGACACTAATACTTGAATGAGGTGAAGTTGGTTTTATCTTCACACATTTGTTCATTTTAACGGTGTTTGTTTACCACGCCAATTTGATTATGTAGTCTGAAATTGCATGCCTTTAACAACATTAGCACTATTTATTTGACTAAAGAATGTACTTTGATAGTCATTGGCTGCTAATATGATTTCACTATTTCGAATTTGCAAGTAATACTTTTCTGACATATTATTAAGGAAAAAAGTCAGAATGTGTGAATATAAAACTAACTTTACCTCAATGAATATTTGGGGTTGAAACTGGTCTACATCATATTAGTGATGTATCAATCATACTGTTATCACATTTTAATTAAAGGAAATGTAAGATGTCATTGAGTGTTTGTGTCATTGAGTAATTCACAAATGATGCAAACCCCACCTAATGCCGAGTTCAGACTGCATGATTTTCAAAGTAGTCGTGTCACAGATGTTTTCACACTGCTTGACTATCTGGGCTAGCGTTTCGTCGCTGCTTTGTTTACACTGCATGATGGATCGGCGACAGGGACATTCACATTGCATGACTTTACTATAGGAAGAATCGCCGACAACTTCATCCAAACTACGTCTCACAGCCAAAAACACGTGGTATATCTTTTGTTATTAACTACATAATAAGAAAGAAGCCTTTAATGGGGTAGAACATGTACATGTTTGCTCACCTGGGTTTAAAGGGAATTAGCCATTTCTCCTCAACTTAAGTTGATAAAAAACGAATTTCTTTCTGTATGAAACGTCAAACAGACACGGTTGCTCCTGAGTCCTGTCAAACCTCCACTAGTTTTTCCTCCATTTCGTGGGTCCAAACAAACCGAAAATGAGCGCTTTTAACTTCTCCCCCAGCCTCCCGCTGGCCTGCAGCAGGTATATACACACACACACACACAAGTGAATGCTGCTCTCTCATTGGCTGTAGGCGATCGCTGATGTTATTTTCAGTCAAAACTCATTTCACACGGCATGATTTGAATTGCCGACAGCTCCAGATATTCAGCATGCCAAATATCTCACTGGCTTCGGCGACTCATCGGCGATTCTCTCAGATCGCCTCTTTGATAGTTCATACTGTGTGATTGTCACTCACGTGCACGAGCAGCGATTTGCCTGTGATTTCAGGCATTTGTCTGCGATTTCTCAAAACCTGTCGGCAAACCAAAATCGGGGCTAAAATCACGCAGTCTGAACTAGGCATGAATGGATAGCTCTCCCAAAAACTACATTTATAAACAACATATTAGACAGTGCCTTTTTTATTAGAACATTCAATAGATGTTTAGCTGAAACCGTCATCTTTGGTGATTCATAAAATACAAGTAAACGCCTTATGCTGTGTTCAGACTGCGTGATTTAAGCCCCGATTTTAATCATTATGCAATTTTAATCAAATTATAATCATTATGCAAAAAACAATCCCTGAAGAAGGAAGAAGTTCCTGAAAAGTATAAATCTCACCACTGCTATTTAGTAAATGTGAAACAATATTTATTTTTATTTATTTTATTTATATATTTTGTCATTTTATTTTTATTTATTAATTTTTATTAAATTTTATTATTTACTTATTTTAGTTTTATATATTTGTTTTTGTTTTATTTAATTAATTAATTTTTTTTTATTTCTAGATTATTTTATATTTTATTTTAATTTGATTTAATTTTGTTGTCATTATGCAAAAAACAATCCCTGAAGAAGAAAGACGTTCCTGAAAAGTATAAATCTCACCACTGCTATTTAGTAAATCTGAAACAAAAATTATTCCCTGGAAAAGTTGGTGGTTCATTCCGCTCTGGCAACCCCTGATAAATAAAGGGACTAAGCTGAAGGAAAATGAATGAATGAATAACCTAATTCCTTCATATTGTCCCAAAACAACAAATCCAGCATTTTGTACAGAGGTAAAAAAGGTAATTTCCTATTTTATACAGTATTCAAGTAAAGCCCATCAGACAAAAACAAATCAGACAAACATAAAACAAACACACAAACAGCATAATAAAGCTGCTAGAAGCTAACGTCTGGCCTGGATGATAAGCCCGTGTTTAATTGGGGATATGTGTTCATTACTCAAGGGTCATTAAGAGCTGAAATCATTTAGGCAAAGATGAGGTAGATTAGTATTGATTCACTCGAGACCAGCAGCTATTGATCCACGCTAAAATCAGCTTCCAGAAATGGAAAAGCTTCAGATGGGGGGAAAAAGGCCTTGTGTTTCTTTACATGCTCAAGTGTTTCCTGTTGAACGACCTTCGCTTGAGATGCATTGAGTCAATTGAATGAATTCTTATATTTATTTATATACATAATGTTTATTGTAAATGAGTTCCCATATCTGATTTTTGCATTGTATCATTTTATCATACTGAATTTTCATTAGGGCGGCATCGTGGATTAGTGGTTAGCACTGTCACCTCACAGCAAGAAGGTTGCTGGTTTGAGTCCCGGCTGGTTCAGTTGGCATTTCTGTGTGGAGTTTGCATGTTCTCCCCGTGTTGGCGTGGGTTTCTTCTGGGTGCTCCGGTTTCTCCCACAAGTCTACAGACATGCGCTGTAGGTGAATTGAATAAACTAAATTGGCCGTAGTGTGCGTGCGTGTGTGTGTGTGTGTGTGTGTGTGAATGTGAGAGTGTTTCCCATTACTGGGTTGTAGCTGGAAGGGCATCTGCTGCGTAAAACATATGCTGAATAAGTAGGGTGTGGCGACCCCTTATGAATAAATGGACTAAGCCGGAGGAAAATGAATAAATGAAAACTAAAAAATAATAACATAAAAAATATTAAATATTAAATAATAATATTTATTATTATTTTTTAAATATTTACCCAAATTTTCTCACACATAAAATAAGAAATTGTATAATTTTTAAAATGTTTGTTATGTGTTGCATAAATGCTTAATAAAAAAATAAGCGGAAATGTTATACATGTCTACAAATAAATATTGTGAAAAGTAAAATGTACTGTTTACTGTAATTTTACTGTAAAAATGTACTGGTTAATCCCAGACTTAAATATGACTATTTTATATTTTATTCCAGTTAACCTGATATTTGCTTTAAAAGTTTTTATTTTATGTATACAGGGCTTTGTGGCAATATATGGAATCTACAATTGGAAAGTGACTCTTTTCTGACATAATTTAGCTCATATTGTGGTCATGATTTCATTATTGTATAATTATTTTATATTGTTTTATTTTATTTTTATTTTATTATTTTGTTTTATTTATTTGTGTTTTGTATTTTTTTTATTTATTTACTTATTTGTTTTATTTATTTTTTTATGTTTGTCGTTTTGTTTTTATTTATTTATTTTTTCATTTTATTTATTTATTTATTTTTAAATATTTTTTTCCATTTCATTTAATTTAGTTTATTTTTAATTTGATTTTTTATTTTTCTATTATTATTATATTTTTTTAATTAAATTAAATGTATTTATTTAGAATTTAGTTTTGTTTTATTTTTTATTTCATATAATTAATTTATTTGTTTTATTTTTATATATTTATTTTTATTTATTTCTATTTCTATTTTATTTTTACTATTTTGTATTTTATTTATTTAAAATTTTTATGTAATTTTATTTTTATTTATTAATTTTTATTAGATTTATTTACTGATTTATTTTTATAAATTAGTTTTTTATTTCTATTTCTGTTTTATTTTAATAATTTATTTATTCATTTATTTTGTTTAATTAAATTTTATTTTATTTTTAAATTTAATAAAATTTTATTTTATTTTTATTTTTTAATTTTATTTTATTTTGAAATCTGTGGTTGTATCAGTCTATGGGTTAAAATGATTTGAAATGTAAAGATGAATGGCAATATAAAAAGTTAACAGGAGCACATTTTGAAAGCAAAGTGACCGGTTAATAATAATCAGGAACTTAAAAATAAAAAAGAGAAACACAAAAAAGTGTTATGTTATGGTCCTGACAGAACAACCGTTGAACTCTAAACGTTATAGGTCATTCAGGCATTTCCCTCATCCATAATGCATGCAATTGCACAACTTGCATTTATGCATTCTGCAGATGATTACATCCCAAGCAACTTACATAAGCAATCTGTGACGAAGCCAATAGCATTCATAGTAAACAATGTCAGTTTGCTCACAGTAAACAAACGATGAGGTGCAAAAATAGCAGCATAATAGTGTGCCGTTGAAAGCAAATGTCAAACTGCAAGATGTTCCTGCCCTGTTTTGAGTCTCTTCTACGTCATAGAAGAGATTACATACTTCAGATCCTTTTGCAGACAGAAATGTGGCTTGATCTCTGTATTCTGGGGAGAAAAATCCCGCTCCCGTAGGCCTCCGTCCGTGCTCCGTTATGTAAGTACATTAAGATTCTCGGGTTTCATTTTGGCACGGCGAGCCTGACGCTGCTGGAGCTAATGCATCTCATCCTGTGCGACATGCACACACACACACACACACACACACTGGTATTTAATGGAGTCTGCCCTTGGGGCCTTAATGATTATAATT